ACCTTTGATCCTTTAAACTTTAACCTAACCAGTTGCATTTCAGACTATTTTACCCAAATCTATACCAAAACGTGTACTTACCGACTGCCATAGCTCCAACTTCATGAAATATAATCCAATTAAACACAAAATAATTCCAACTGACATACATGCAATGATGTGTACACAACACTACGCCTAGTACTGCACGTGCAGTGCTATAGATCTAAAAATGATAATGGTAAAACTAGTACTTAAGTTAGGTACGTGACGCAAGCCCAATGTGATGCAAGTCTTCAGATACATTTTCAGTAGAAGAACAAATCAGGGCCATTGAGCAGTGAGGGATATTTATCGTGCCGACGCCTGCCGCTGACACGGGGCCTCGGTTTTTAAGGTCTCATCCGAAGGACCCGCATCTTTCACTTCAAAGTGCCGAGTGCATGGCGAAGGAACAGTTGCTACCCATTTTTTATCGACTAAGGTCAGTCGCGGGACTAGATTGAAACTCACGACCTTTCGATCACAGAGCGAGCGCTCTACCGACTAAGTTACCGTGAATGCAAGCGTTTAGAAAAAAGTGCGGAAAGACTGACAGACGGACAGATAGACGGACGGTAGTAGTACTCAAAAATTGTAAATTATAAATTCAAGATCATTTGTATGGTATTTGACACCCTTAATGCCACAAAGAATTCACATTGAAGCATAAAAAATTTGAGGACAGGACCATCATATTTCTGGAACTTTTTTGACAATTTTATTATTAAATCTACAGTAAAGAATTTGAAACAGTTGAAAATAATTGTATTCTAAATCATACTTGTTCAATTTTTCACTACATAATTAAACTTAATTATGCATATTACAAGTATAAAGAGCTGCATGTAGTACATGTCATTACATACAAAACAAAAATGTGTAAAATGTTACAAACTTGTATTAATGAAAACTTACAGAAAACCTGAAGGTAATCCCGAACTCCCTGCCATGCTTTGAAAAAATCACTGACCAGCTTTTGTACTTTTTCTTTGATTCCATCTGAAATTATCAAATTTATGTTAAATATTTCAGTGATGTGGGTTTAGATTATTAATAAGATATGTATGTGAAACAGTGATGGCACTTTTGGTAAAATGCAAGTCAAATCCAAAGGTGTCAAAAATATGAAATCCAAAGCACAAAAAATTCAATTGTTATGTTCAATTTTTTTTTTCTAAAGGTTGGTCAAACCCCACAGACAATGTTAATGGTCAAACCTAAGATGTCCAAGGGAAGACCTTGTCATAAGAAATACACATATGAAAGTAAAAAGTCCTAGGAAGAATTCCTATAAAAATATGAATATATTCTTTGAACTAAATCTAAGTACTCGTATATATGGACCTACACAGATGCATTTGTTTAACTACTTACCGTCTTCGAACATGTCTATTATCATACTAATGGTCATAGTTTTTAGTTCGTCTCTGTCAATTTTCCGCTGGAATTTCTTTTGAAGTAGCCTTTGAAGGCGAAGAATGTTTGGAACAAAATGGATATAACGCAAAATGTTCTCCTGCAACAATAATAAACGCCCTTTTAGTCTTTTTGTGTATATGAACACTGAATAGACAATTTGAAAGGGTAAAGAAGAGAATTCGAAAAAATTTAACCATTCAACCAATGAAAACGTATTGCTACTACATTATAAGCAATTTGGATATCAATTGCAGATAAATCCCCGCGAACCAATATTTATTCTCCAAATCACAAAAGTTTGATCCCTCGGAAAAATGTGATTATTCAGCATATAACAGTTATATAGATTGAATAAATCATCAAATCGTAGATATTTCAAAAGGAGGTATTGTTATACATACATATATATTAACAAACCTGTTGGATAAAGGCAAAAAGTGTGGGATATTTATGTTCTGGAATTTTGCCAAGAATTACATTCATTAAATATTCCAAAGTAATCTGTGGTCTGTATCGCCATGCTCGTGAATTTTCATGAAGTGGTGCTCCTGTTGTTTCTAAGCTTGCAACATCTATCTCATTTATGAGGCGATATAAAGGATCCAAGAAATCTTCCAAGAAAAATATGGCAAATTATATTCAAGGTTTACTTCAGTTGTTTTGATTTGAAGTTTTCAAGATGGAATTTTAAGTTTGCATATTTTGATAGAAAGAATTTAATTTTATTATTTTCACTAGTTACACTATAAGAAAACATAATAAATACTAGCAACATACTCATTTTTTCATCATTTAGTATTAAATCAATCATTGAGGCCAGACTTCGATCCATCTCCTTTTTCAATAAAAAAACATATACAATTTAAAATGTGCAAGGGAATTATGACGTTTGAATTAAAAGGGAAAACACATAAAAACAGACAAAGCTATAAATCAATTATTGTTATAATTTAAATAAAAACCTTTACGCAATGAACCATTGTATTTTTTAAAATATAATCTCATTAATGACATGATATGTTCAAACAAATTTAGAAAGGCGCGTTCGAGAAAGCAATTTCTCATGCGCAAGATAGAGTGGTTTTTGATTTTCGCATATGACGTTGCACCACAACAGCGTTCAATGTTTGTTACGACAAACAATAACGTCATTTTTAACCTTTTGACCCCCTTTTCGTGTTACGGTGTTTTGAATACAAAAGATGTCCGTTCACTTTAATCGCAAAGAACAAGTGTAGTATAAATATAGTGTTTTCAATGCAAAAGAATTCCATTCACTTTATATGCAAAAACACGTTATAATATGAATATTGAATTATTTTAACAAGAGTGAAATTAACAAAAATAAATTTGTGCAAAATGTATATATTATGAGTATACATCATAAAGCAAATGATAAAGTCGGATAATTAAACATCAATGATATCTTTTATATTTTCAATTATATCATTTCTACAAAACTAGGTAAAAACACAATGCTGTAAATAAATAAATAGGCCTATACTTCTTTGATCATGTTGACATTCATTCGCCAACAGTTACATATTGACATTCGTTTTTTTTTATGAAAAGCTTAATTAAAAAAATATTTCAAACTACTGATTGATCGTCTACACAAACTCTACATCGATAAGCATGAATTTATGCCATGCAGAATAATTATTTGATTAAAAAAATTTCCTTCGATAATCCATTCAATTGGAGTAAATGGCCTTTCCTTTGAAACTTATACTAAAATACTGAATATAATTATTGTTTAAAATTCCAACTTAACTTGCCAATATTTCTAAATGAATATATGCTAAAAAATGGTTAATGGAATGATTAATTCATATTAGAATATCCACAGATCGAACATTCCAATAATAGTTCACATCCCTAATATAATATTTTAGTATGAATATAAAAAGTACCTTTACAATTGGTTCAATTATTGTTGTCGAGACTTCAGTCTCCCATTGATCCCTCTCTCCAGTGCTTTGAAGTAGGTTCTTGGGATAAAAATCTTCCTGTGTTCCTTTAAGGGACAAATTTTTCCTTTTACAATTTTTAAAGAAATTCGCATAATAATATTAGAATAATAATAATACATGTATATATTTATTTCATGCAAAATATTCCTTGAGAATTAATTGTTTGTAAAATTACTTCATTGTAAAATTCTTAGATATATCCCTTGGTCAATGTACTTTTTATTTATGCCTAACCAAGAATAGAATAAGGTCACGCGGGCAGCTTAGTAGGTCAGCCGTATTTTTACACCCGCAGCAGGGATTTATAACCATTTTGGCGTAGCATTGTTTGACACGTATTGTGTCATATTTTTGCCCCGTTCAGGCAAGATATATTTTGTCAACATGCAAGATTATTATGTCAAAATACAAGATAATTATGGCAATATGCAAGATACAACTGTTTTAAGTGATACTGATTTTAATATGGTTAAAATTCTGCGACTTGCGACTTTCATGTTACATGTAACATGCGACTTTTTTATGTCAACATGCGAGTTAATTCTGTAGACATGCTACTGATATATGTTAATATGCAAGATTATTATGTTAACATGCTACTGATTTTAGTCAACATGCAAGATAATTATGACAATATGAAACTTATGAATGTCTACATTGTGGACATTGACAAGCAAAATATTTATGTCAACATGCACGATAATTAATTGCCTGTCAACATAGATTTCTTGCATGTGATCATAATCAATTTGCATGTTGACATAATTATAATGTCTGCTTACATACCAGTTATTATATTGTTTGTTGGCATTATATATATCACATGGCTTCAAGGGTGACATACCAGAATATTTGCCTCGAGGTGACAGGAAAGCCCTTGAGTGTTATTGCACCCTATGCTGAGGGCAGAGGGTGACACAACACTCTAAGGCTTTCATGTCATCGAGGGGCAAATATTCTGGTAAAGTCGCCCGAGAAGCCATGTCATATATGTAAAATAACATTTTTGAAATTAAATCAATATGAAGCCGTGTCATATATGTAAAATAACATTTTTGAAATTAAATCAATATGAGCTGCATTTTTGAAAATTTTATTTTGCTGTGAAAATATTTCATTATTATAATTTTAAATGTAACTTAAACTTTTATGAACAATTGGACTATAATAAAGCAGAAAAAGACTTACATATACAATCCAATATACAGTTTTATATATGAAATCATTATTGTACAGGACGATTATAATGTAATTTGTCACAATCGAGGCTTATAAATACATGTAGTTCTTCCATTGTAAAGACGAATAATGACCCCCATCAAATAATGACCGGGGGTCATTTTTCGACAGCGAAAAATGACCACCTGTCATTTTTCGACGTAGAGAAAAATGACCCTTTTGCTCGTAGAAAAAGTGTCACCACACTAAAAATTTGCAGAACCCACGTGAAGAAAAATGACCCCCGTAGAAAATTGACTCCCTGTGGATTAAAGCTTAAATTTTTAGGGGGCATAAAAAAAATTAGATAAAGAAACATATTGGCCAATATGATCACCTGAGCTTATTTGGAATAAATTGATGATATGTTGATCTCATAACATACGATTATATCTATATTTTAAGGTCAATTCGATGATTCTGATTCTATAGTAGTAAAGATTTATCGAGCCTAAAGGGTTATGTAAACATTGTTTTTCGATGGTGGAAATCATCGTACCGACAGAAAAAATCAGCAGTGTCATATATTATTATATCCTCCGCTTGAAAAGCGGGAGGATATATAGTGATCGGGACGTCCGTCCGTCTGTCACGCTGTGGGGTATCCATCTGTTATCCGCAACTCCTCTTATATATAAAAAGATGAGTTTGTGAAACAGCTATGCCCCTGTATGGCAACATAGTGAAGATTAAACTTTTCTTAAATGCAATTTAAATATAATGGTACACAAAGTAGCGTCTTCTCACAAGAAATACAATTGCAAAAAAGGAAAGCCCTAGCACCACTTGTTCAAAATTCATGGCTAAGGACAAGTGTTTGAAAGGTAGGTAAAATAAAAAGGTCAAAGGGTCAACGTTGATGGTTTCTTAGGAAAGGTTTAATGTAACAAGGATTACATTTGTGAAGTATGAGAGTACAAATATCTACCGTTTAAAAGTTATCGCCAAAGAAAATTAAAAATTTGGCATTTTTTGTAAAATGGGACAAACTCCAAGGTTAAGGTCAAAAGGTCAAATTTGGTGGTACATGTACCCAAAGTAAGGTCTTGTCACAAGGAATATACACATATTGAATATGAAAGGCATAGCTACAATAAATGAAAAGTTATGGTCAAGCTTAAAGTTTTGGCGGAGAAACAGACCGCCAGATAGACAGACATACAGACGGACACGATAAAACTATAAATCCCCGAATCTTCGATTACAGGGACATAAAAAGAAATGATTTTCAATTGACCTTTCATATTATTATACAGTATAAAGAAGAATGAAAATGTTTGTTCTGATTATCATATTAAATTCTCTGAAAAATATACTCAGAACTGGGTAAAAGGGTTGAGTAAAACAAAAATTAAGAAATGTAATGAATACTGTGTGCTAAATCAAAAGGTTATGTCTACATGTATAGTTTTTGCATTAGAATGTGTATTTTACATTAGCCCATAGCTTTACAGCGCATGTTTTAGGTATTATACCATCCCAACCCCTTACATATTTAGGGGAAGTCGATTATCAACAAAAGCAACAAAAAAACCCCTACCTTTATTTTTCTATAAGGAAGGACTAAAAATAAGCTTTAAATAATCTACTATTCTAATATTTTCAACTTTTACTTTGCCACAATACTTTTAAGTATACCTCCACCAACATTCAAATTATGCTTTAGTCATGGCAAAGTAAATTATGATATGATAGAACTTGTGTGAAGGCTCAATTTTATTTCAATATTTTATCTATAGCCTCTTTCAGTATTATTGAAAGGTATAGAGTTCTCTTTATACTTTTGCATTTCATTTATATATTTTTTATTTAACGTATTTTTTTTTTGGGGGGGGGGGGTAAAAATTTCCTCGTCTTTCAATGTCAAATAGGATTTGCCAAACTTATACAAGCTAAAATTGAAATGAAGGAAAAATTAATTGTTCAATTAAAGAGTATTGGAACCTGATTGTTACATGGTTTGATTTCTAAAAACAAGTGGAGTATCATTCTTAAAGCAAACACTATAAGGAGGAATATTAAAAAGAAATTTTATTACTTGACAATTAAAGAATCTCTTTTCACTTTAAAGGGGGTCATTTTTCAATGGGGGTCAATTTTTTATAGGACTAACATATATAATAATGACTCCTATGACACTTTTCTACAACAAAATCATTTTTTTGTACGCGCAGGGGGAATAAGGAAGCATACAAAATTTTCTACCTTGGCTAAATCAGTGCTGCATTATGACGTCATAGTATGCAAGATGACATCAATTTTTGGAAATAAAGTTTTCGTAATATTGGTTTTTAGCTATGTAATTTAACTCTAGAAAATGATTAGAAACGTAAACAATAACAAAAATAAAACGTGTGTATCTTGTTATGCTGTAGCAGTCTTTATGAATGAAATCAATTTTCGATGACGTCATATGTGTACATCAAGTAACTTGCAAATTGATTATGTCGTGTAAAGAGAATTTGGCTAAGACGACATGTTCAAAGATACATAAAATGGAGTTTAAAAGGAAATATCGGAAGTACTGTGTTAAATTCATATGGAGTTCAATTAATTTAACAGGTATGCTTATTTATTTTCAATGATTATATTCTCTTTCGAAAACAGTCAGCTATATTAGGTATCCCGGTCGGCCTATCGTCTGTCATTCTTGACCAAAAAATACAACAGAACAACAATAAGCTGGATATTTCAAAACATACGATTTGTAAATATTGAAAGTTTGTATTAAAACAAACTTGGAAAGTGCTGCTAGAATCCCGAGTTAAGCATGGTTGTACGAAAAATCTCATTCATATGTATAAAATTCAAAACAAAGGTTAAGGTTTCGTGCGAATGTGTGGATTATATATTTTACGGACAAGATAGTGGGATTCTAGCAGCACTTTTTGATAAAATAGATGCTTTTCAGCTATATTACACACTCAAAGAAATTTTCAAACTCCGGGGTATTGTTGTTCTGTAAGCCTTTTTATTAAGAAAAATTTTGTTATTAATAAAAGTCACGTGATGCCGTGGCGGTGATGCACGTCTTTGCGTTAGACACGCTTTTATCTGTATGCAATAGTAAATAACAGTTTACGTTTATCAGTGGTTTTGATAACTTATTAAACTAATTTTTCTTCAAAAAGTCTAAATTTCCCGAGAAATTACTTATATGCTTCCTTAACATACCTGCGCGGGTAGGGGGTCATTTTTTGTTGTTGAAAAATGACTCCCGGTCATTATTCGATGGGGTCATTATTCATCTTTACACCGTCGCAAATATGAACAACACAATTCCATTAACCTTATTTTTTCTTTCATTATAATTATAGTTATTTACAATTCCGCAACAAAAAAATCCGACATCAAGTTGCAGCTCGTATTGATTAAAAAAATTAAAATCATTTAAAATTGTTACAATTAACACAAATAATTCAAAAAAATATATCAAAATGAGAAGTTTGATAACACCAACTTGAATGGTATGTTTTAAATAAGCTAAACACTTATTTAAGAAAAGTGTTTCGCTAGGTCAAAAGAAAGGTCAAGGTAAAAAAAAAAACTCTCATCAATATCTATCAGCATATGAATTTTGATGAAAATATCTTGGATAGTTTCTTTGCAACTGAGCTTTGAACAGAGCTCAACGCAAAATGTGACAGAAGGACAGACGAAAGGACAGAGAGACGGAAGGACGGAAGACGGATATGTCAAACACTATATGCCTCGGTCGTATATTCATGGCGGGGTTAAAATGAAAATATAATGAATCACTGTCTAGTTAGTATAGTATACCAGGGACATCAACGATAGTGAAAGCCCGTTATCCCCTATTTCCCACTATCGTTGCTGCCCTGGAATACCATTCTCAATTCCAACTTCTCGGGCCTTTCCGACTAGCGGAAAAACGACCTCGAATGTACTAGGAAGACGCCATTACAACTCCTCCTTTTCACGATCTTTGAAATAAATGCACGGATACCTTTTATCTGTGTAATATTGAGTTCAACATTACTCAATGTAATAATATTACCTAAAGTATACCATAAAAGGAACATCTGTCTCCGTATACACAATATTTGAATAAACAGGAAGACTTTTAACATCCTGTGATGTTAATACATTCAAGGATGTTTTTCCGACCTCTGATGGAAAGACCAGAGATACGATTAATACCATAGTATCTAGACAGTAATTTCTTTAAAAAATCTCGAACCCGAACTAAAATGTGTAATTTGACAACACGTGAACGTTATCGAGAATGGGACATAACTGTTTCCGTCAGGGGACGTATGTAATTGTTGTTTATTGAATCGATCGTTGCTGAGTCGGAAAAAAAACTTTACTGTGTCAGGACCAACCCAGTAAAACAGCTCATGGAGAACCCTGGTAAAGATTGCTAAAAATTTCTATTAATTGTCTAAAAGTTAAAATTGCTAAAAATATATTACTATCAAATGACATCATCATCTCATGACATATCCTGTGGAGAAAGAGAAGTACATTATCCACATTTTCTCCTGTAGCTTTCTGAATTGTCCTTAAATCGCATTCAATATGACACCAAAGAAATGATGGTACATCTTCTGGCTTTATACTTGGTCTAATTATCTTCTGAATATCCTACAATTATATACTCAGTATATTACAAAAATATCAAAAGAAGTGAGATTCAATTGTTTCTTTGTAAATAAAACCTTTAAATTAAAGGAACATATTCAACTAAATACAGTATTAAATCCATACAACTGACCTCAGGGTATCTTGATGCTCCAAAATACATCGATGCATGTGTAAAAAAACGTAATATAGAGCATTGCACACCACTTAAGGCACGACATTTGTTTGGACTGACATTTCTATCTTCACCTTTTCCAAGAATATGTCCTTTGGAACGAGAGAAAAAGCTGTAAAAGAAAATTCTTATGAAACTAGTAGACTAATTGTTCACTGAACAATTAGAAGGTCTTTCCACCTTCTTCTTCTTCTTTTTTTTTTAATGTGTCCAAGTAATTTGAATTGTTAAAAAAAAAAAAAAAAAAAAAAAAAAATCAATAAGTGCTGCCAGCAGGATTCGAACCGTTGACCCTCAGCCATCAGATTGCCAGGCGAGCGCTCTACGCACTATACCACAGGCTCCGATGACATTATTTTCCGTAAACTAAGAGTGAAGAAAAAAGAAGAATTGAAAGCACGTGGATTTAAATAAAAATAGCACAGAAACACGTGTATTTATTTGTTTGTTATGGAACATAGAGAGGAATAATGAATAGTTCTGAGAAAAACGATTGGTGGATAATGAAAATGGAGATTTCCTATTAAAAAAAATCATTTGAGTTTGTTTGTAGTTTGAATAGATTGAGTTAATCATACAGAGCTTATGATACATTCGAACTTCCGTGTCGGCACTGTGTTTACAATTTGTGAAAATATAGGCGCGTTTGTTTTGACAGAAATGGCGAACTCATAGGTTAGAATGAATTATCATCTCTATTAGCATTGAATTCATAGTTATGAGCATAAATTAAACTTGAAACATGCATTTCATGCAGAAGACGGTGTCACGGAGAGCGTGCAAATTTATTTTATATGAAAAATCGCTATTTCCGAGTTTCAGCCGATTCATATTTAAATCTAAATAAAATTAAAATAAATTCCATACACCTAAGAAAGCTAGAATACTTGGTATTAAAATGTCGTAATAGAGCAGGAGAATCGAATGATATTAACAATAATTGCAGAAAAAGCCAATGCAAGCTTTAATTAATTTTTATGCTCAGCAGTAACTTAATTTCAGACAGAAAAAAAATGCAGATTTTGCCGATATTCTCTAGAATTTCATTGTACTTTAGAGACTCACCTTAAAACTCTCAGGACACTTTCTTTCAGGTCTCTTCTTCCTTTTATTATGAATTATATGTCGATATTTCGTTTCGTTTGACTTGTAGACATTTTCTCTAAGTTGGTGTTGATTTTATTTTTTTTTTTACAAGGGGGGGGGGGGTCATAAGCATTTGTTAGAGTGATTGTTGTAAATTACTCCACGACCTTTAGCTAGATTGTGACCTTTGGGTCAATGGGGTCAAAGGTCAAGGTCATTTATCAAGGTCAAAGGTCAAGGTCATCCCCCCCCCCCAAACAAGAGAAGAGAGAGTTAAACTCGAGATTAATACTTGAGGCTGAATCTAGATAAAGGACATGAAAAGTTCTTTATTACCTTCTGAGTAAGGGTCAAGGTCAGAGGTCAAGGTCAATGTTAAATTTCAAGCTCAAAAGGTCAAGGTCATTTGGAATTTAAGCTTAAATTGATCAATACTCTAGTTTTCCAATGACCTTGACCTTTGACCTTGACCTACTTTTCAAGGTCAAAGGTCATAAGATCTCATGCATTTGGTCCCATATCTTTACCACTTTTCCTTTAAAAGTTTTTAATTTTTCTTGTCAGCTTTAAGACTTTCAGGGGCAATAACTCATTGAAGGAGTCACCGAATACTTTTGCAATGAATAGATTCCAGAGTCCTCTCAATTAATCCAAGACATTGGTGAAGGTTTCATACCTCTACGGTTTACGGTTTCAAAGGAGTAGCGATAACAAGCATTTCTTGCGAAAGGGGCAATAACTTCGAAAGCCGTCATAATTCATACGCATTGGGTCAAATTTGTTCCTAACTTTTAATGACCTTTACGACGAACAAAAAGTTTCTTCGATAAATGTCGAAACAAAAAATCAGCGGAAGAAAAATAATAATAAGACTAGGAGACTTATTGTTCACAGAACAATAAGAGGTCTTTCCACCTTCTTTGAATTTCAATTCAATTTTGTTTTTATATCTGACTCCTTAAAATTAGATTCCATGAATAAGAAACCAAAATTGTCTTAAAGGATAAAAAAAAAAATGAAAATAAAAAAAATGAAATTACCTTGACCTTTGACCTTGAGAAAATGTTCAAGGTCAAAGGTCAAGGGTCACAATGCAATTGTCCCTATGCTTCTACAACTTATAGTTTTTAAGTTATAAGGATTAATAATAAGTACAAAGACGTTAAAGGGAAATAACTCATATAAGAGGTCATCAGATCCATTCGCACTTATACAGTGTAGTTATGCCTTAAGATCCTAAAGACATTAGTGAAGGTTTGGTGTCTCTACGGTCTGCAGTTTCCGAGGAGTAGCAATTACAAGGTTTTTTCGCACAAGGGGCAATAACTTTTAAAAGGGTTAATCTTAGGGAACAAAAATGAAATATTAAAATAATTTTAGGAGTACATATTAATTTTGCTAAGACATTAAGTATATGTTTAAAGACGAAAGAAATTTAAAAAGAGCTTAATTTCTCAAATTTGGAATGACCTTGAACTTTGACCTTTGCATTAATTTTATGATCGAAGGTCAATGGATCTTATGCAATTGGTCCCATGTCTCTAATACTCCTCGTTTTGAAAATTTTTAATTATTTCTAAAATTAAAAAAGTTTCAGGGGCAATAACTCATCTAAGAGGTCACAGAATACTTTCTCAATGAATAGATTCCAGAGTCCTCTCAATTAGTCGAAGACTTTAGTGAAGGTTTCATATTTCTACGGTTTACGGTTTCGAAGGAGTAGCGATAACAAGGTTTTCCGCACAAAGGGCTATAACTTCTAATAGGGTCAATCTTACGCAATACTAATTGAATCTTTAAAATAGCTTTAAAAGTACATACTAATGATGCCAAGACAGTTTGTATATGTTAAAAGACAAAAAAAGATATAAAAAGAGCTTAATTTCTAAGTTTTGGAATGACCTTGACCTTTGACCTTTACATGAATTTTAAGCTCAAAGGTCAATGAATCTTATGCAGTTGGGCTCATGTCTCTATACCTTCTCGTTTTGAAAATTTTTAATTATTTGTAAAATTCAAAGACTTTCAGGGGCAATAACTCATTGAAGAAGTCACCGAAGACTTTCGCAATGAATAGATTCCAGAATCCTCTCAATTAGTCAAAGACTTTAGTGAAGGTTTCATATTTCTACGGTTTATGGTTTCGCAGTAGTAGCGATAACAAGGTTTTCCGCACAAAGGGCTATAACTTCTAATAGGGTCAATCTTACACAATACTAATTGAATCTTTAAAATAGCTTTAAAAGTACATACTAATGATGCCAAGACAGTTTGTATATGTTAAAAGACAAAAAAAGATATAAAAAGAGCTTAATTTCTAAGTTTTGGAATGACCTTGACCTTTGACCTTTACATGAATTTTAAGCTCAAAGGTCAATGAATCTTATGCAGTTGGGCTCATGTCTCTATACCTTCTCGTTTTGAAAATTTTTAATTATTTGTAAAATTCAAAGACTTTCAGGGGCAATAACTCATTGTCGAAGTCACCGAAGACTTTCGCAATGAAAAGATTCCAGAATCCTCTCAATTAGTCGAAGACTTTAGTGAAGGTTTCATATTTGTACGGTTTATGGTTTCGAAGGAGTAGCGATAACAAGCATTTCTTGCGAAAGGGGCAATAACTTTGAAAGCGGTCAGAGTTCATACGCGTTGGGTCAAATTTGATCCTAACTTTTAATGATCTTTACGATGAACAAAATTTTTTTTCGATAAACGTCGAAACAAAAAATCAGCGGAAGAAAAATAAGAATAATAATAAACATAAGCAAATCAATAGGTCTTTCCACAGAAAGGTGGAAAGACCTAATAATAATAATAAACAGAAGAAAATCAATAGGTCTTTCCACAGAAAGGTGGAAAGCCCTAAAAATGCAACAATTGTGATAAGAAAAAGCTCGAGTAGGGATACTTTGAGTAAAGCTCATTCAATTATACCCCGCCTTATATATGATTACAACTGTATAATGGCAAAGTGCATATTTTGCCATGGGAAACGCCAAATAAGTGCCAGATTAAAAAGTAAAATAGGAGGTCCACAATGACATTATGTAACACACAATCTGAAAGAATCTAAAATTTTATTCAAGAAAGAGTTGCGGATAAGAAGTGGGTACACTCAAATATTATAGAAAGAATGACAGGTTTTTTTTTCTCTATGGCCGACCCGAAATATGTGTCCGATCAAAAATTTCGAGATTCACAATGGCACTTTGTACATGTAACAAACATTGTGTGAAAGTTTCATTAAATTTCCTTTGATGGTATAGGAAGAGTTGCAGATAAGAGATTGGTACCCTAAAGTGTATCAGACAGACACCCCAATCACTATATACAGTCCCGCTTTCAAACCGGGCAAGTGGTTATAAAATGCAGCACACTAAAAAGCACTAAAATTCAAAACGAGTCAATCTATAAAAATTACATATCCTCAGATCACTTTCTGTCATAATGAAGTATCCATATAATAATGCTTTAATTTGGTCTCAAATCATGAAACTGCCATATATGTACAGCATTGCATTGTATAATGTGAAAATGTACATAGTCATTATCAAAAATAAAACCTTAATATATCACATTGCTCACCTGAGTAACTTGGGTGATGCAGTTCTGTACCAGATTTCCCTTCTTGCTATTCCTATCGTACCCCTACCTTCTCCCCTTACATGAATTTGATACTTTAGAATCTACACTACCCGAGGATGCTTCCACATATATATGTTTCAGCTTTCCTATCTAGTGGCTCTTGAGAAGAAGATTTTAAAAGATTTGTTTTATATATTTTTATGTAAAACTTGGATTCTTTTAATTGTGGCCCCGCCTAACCCCTTGCGATCACATGAGCCTTCGGATCAATCAGGTGAGCTATTACAGGCAAAATATCAGAAATTATAACACTATAACAAAAGAATTATATCCCTTGATGAAAATATAACAGTTTTTTGTCAATTTTGTTTGTATTTGTATTGTAAATATCATACCCTTTTCCTCTGCTTGTAACATTCAAGGTTATGTACTGATCAGGATGTCTTCCTCTATTACCATTGCTGTTTTTTCTTACGTTTTGGTCTACCAGGGGACTAAATCAAAAATGATTTCGCTAGGGAAACTTCGATGTCAATTAAAGGTACCAAAGATTTGTTGAATTTTTCATAATTATCTATTTTCCTCTGTGTTCTTTTTAAGGAGGCTCATTACACCAATTTTTGATGACCTTTGTAATATGACCCTGATCTTTAACACGATTTAAAAATATATGTTTATCTGTAATGTGATGTCATGTTATATACAATGATAACTCAGAAAACGGGTTCATTTTGCATAAACAAAGAAGGATTTTTTTAAGCAAAAAGAAAAGGAAAAAGCAGACTTATCTTCGAAAAACAAGTACTTTGTATTGTCATAATGAAGCAGTGAGATCTATCAATCAATGACATGATTTTATGGAGGAAACTCGAGTTAAAATCTATAACTTTTTGAATTAGAAAAAAAAATATTTACTCGCAGTATTTACTGTGTTTGTGCTGATTTATATACTTGCTTTATTGATTTAAATATATTCTCTGGAAATAGCAAGCTTTATTCTGAATTTTAGATGTTAATGTTCAAATATTCCGTAGTGATTTGAGTCTTGTCTAATTAGGAAAGATAACTCTTGAAAGTGGATTTTTCAATTTGTCACGTTTAATTCATTAAAATACATTCTTTGTCTCTCCAGAGCTCAGTTTCCTGATATTTGATGCACTGATAACAAAGATAATGACATTACTTGCTTTTTTATTTGAGAAGAAACCCATTTTTACGAATACAATTAATATTAGATATTATGAGGAATATTCATTTGGTGTACTTGTATTAAGAATATGTCCATTATTTGACACTGAAAGTTCTGAACTTTTGGTACTTATAAAATCATTTAACTAAAATTTGAAAAAAAGTTAAATTTCACAAAAAATATTTATATCAATACCTCAATTTGAATATTTTACATCTACATAATAAGTTATGCTATAATGAAATCTAATATAAACTCTGGGTGTAATGAGCCACCTTAAGTCTCTTTAGGCATCATTACTACATCTAAATTAAACTGAGCTGCTCTGCGGTGGGCCGTAATGTCATCAAACGTTGCTATTTTTGGTGTGTTGTTTTCACCATTTTCACATACATTGTATCTAATGCTCAGAAAAACGTCACCATAGATTGAGGATGTAAAATAGGATAATTTCGAAACCCCATTCTTATCAATTTATCAATTTCGAAATTATACTCGTCTGTTCTCTAATGAGAGTTTGGTTTCGTATTTGATCTTTTATCCCCATTGACAAAATTGTCATGCTAATTGGTCGATGCATTAATTGGTTAATCGCTAATCCTAATTGACTGCTCTGTTACACGACCTATGGTGCGTTCCCTCTCATCGTTATACTGAATTCGGGGTTAGCATTTGGTGTTCGCTTTGGGCCCGCTCCGGGTTCGCTCGAAGTTAGCTCTTGGGAACCCTGAGCGAACATTAAGCAGACCCAGAGAGCAAATCCAGGGTGTGCTCTGGGTTCGCTTTCTGTTAGGTTGTGTCCGGTTGGTACTGTAGATATGATTTATTGGTATCATTTTAATTTATTTATATTTGGATCAATATTAACGACTTAAAAGGAAATATCGCAATGTTTTATGTCAGATATTGTGCGATATAAAAGCAATTATCTGTATTTTACGAGAAAATTAATCTTAAGATAAACTTTTTTTCATATTGATTTACACAATCAATTCATTGTTTAGTTACCAAAAGGGACACAATTTAATGTTATTTTTCACACAAAATCATATATATATATATGATGAACAGTATTCAAGCTCAAAAGTCCATAAAACGATATAAAATTGGAGCAATATGATTCATTACCGCCGTATAAGTAAGAATTTTCATAGAATTTAAAAGTAGAGCAATACGAGTACATGTAGATGATAGATGTCTCAAATGGCCTCTTATAATAAATATCTTAATTTTGCTTTATATATAGTTTTAGTTTGCACTTTTATACATGTGAATTTTATTGGTTAATTTTCAAATTGATCAGAATTTCTTTTATTTAGAAATACATATGTATGACATAATAAAGTGCACGTTTTCCCGCCATTTTAGCATATTTTGTATAAAACTGCTTATTTTGAAGCATTTTTTTCAGGAAACATTGAAAACAAACTACAACAAATCTTACATTTTTACCAAAGATATATCTTTTATGATCGCAACGGACTTGTCAATTTGACGTCATATTGTAAAAAATTTAGCAGTTTGTATGCAGGAAGAGGCTGAACAAGTCACATTTTGTACAATGAAAAATGCCTTTTATAATCAAAATTCCCAGATAATAAAAAGCTGTGAACTTGGATGCTATATCTATTCTAATATCTTATTCTTATATCAAATATCGTCCTTATATTCGCTAGAAGAATGACACTGTCGTACTGTCGTGTATTGGTATATAGATTAATTGAGAAAAAAAAGGTTATAGAAGGGTCCAAATAAATTGGTTATTGCAAGGGCATACCCTGAATGTATCATGCCAATTTTTACACCTTTACTCAAAAAGCATTAAAATATTTGAAAAATGCTGCAAACCTGATAAAATCTTGCAAATAATTATATCAATACGTGTATTCATTGAAGTTAACCAAAAAATATTCAACTTGCGGTCAAACAAAGTTAACCTTATTATAGCAATTTTATAGTGGAATATATTATGTATAAGTTATTTTTTTATATAAAATACATGACGATAATCTTTATGTGACATGTATTATTCATATACAATATTTGTCATTTTATTGAATTCGTTATGTGACAAGTTTTAATTATGCTAGTTTTGTGTAACCCGGCTACGTGCACAGACGTAACTTTGCGCAAAAATTTCAAAGAAAATTACCCTCCATCCAACCCCAGAGCTGCCTCCTCACTTTTCAATTATTTTCACCTGCCTGGCCTATATTTTTTTGATAACCCACCTTTTTTGTGGACAGGTAGGTTGTGTTTGTAGGGTTTTGAGAAGTTTATTCTCATTTAATGTAGAATTATGCTTGTTTTGGGTTAGATTGCACACGACTTATTGAAGATAACACTTTGTTTGTCATTTTTCTAATCCTTTTTGACCCCCATTATTTATACAAGTATCACATTCGTCATTTTTCGAATAAATGACATTTTTTTAATTCAACACTGTGTTACTTGTTCTGCCTTTCTGGTAAAAAAAAAGAAGCTTATTCAACTCGGCAAGATATTAAAACAACCAACTGAGCATAAATTTAGATTTTGAGCACTTTTCACAAAGTACATGTAGTGTTGAAAAGAATTAGAAATTAAATGTAAATTTCTAACTTGTTATGCTCTTGCAATACTTAAACTTATAAATGACCTCAATACTGTAAGTAAATTTGCTTAAATCGTGTGACTCTGACATCACGTGACAAGTCTAATAAGTAATTTTAATGTGCTAGACATGAAGTATCCATATCTGATGTACATAATGCTCGAATATTATTTCACAGTAGTTCTGAAGTTTCCTTTTCGCTTTTTCTTTACTTTTTTATTGAGGAGTAAAGAAATAGGTCTGATACATAAGATGAACACTTACCTCGGTTTGCTATGTATCTATGTTTGTCCTCTTAATGACAATTTAAGTGCTGAACTTAAGAAACAATGATCATGAAGGTAATACGGTTGCCTGCTTTGTCATTCAAGGAGCAATGTATATTGACTGTCATTAAAATAAACTTACTCATCGTACTTCGTGTTTCCTTCAGTAAGTTTGTGGAATTTTCCACCTATTGTTTCCTCACATTCATTACAACGCATTTCTACCCAGGGTTGGCCGCACTAAAGATTGAAACGAAACATGAAATCTACAAGTATTTGAATAATACATTTAAATGAATATTGTATATCAAAATCAACTAAAAATTATAAATGTACGACATGTACCATTAAGAAGTTAATGAAGGATGTTTGTGAAAAGTTATTTTGCATAGAGGTTAAGAAGCGAACGTTAAATCTGTAGGCATCTTTAATTTACTAGATCTTGACCTTAAGTCATTTTCAGAAAGATTTTGAATCGCTATGGGAAACGAAAAGGGAATGGTTCGGAAACTTAGTGCATTACTTATGATGTAGTGTAAAAAAAAAAACGACCCAGACTTCATGTTATGATATAAAAATTGTTCAACATTAAATTACCGATATTTACACAGTGAAGTTACCAATACTGTTCGAAACAAAATTATATAATGCATATAATTTTTAGCTTAAAATATTATTGTTGCGATTGTGATGCGTTGCAGCAGACTAAAAGTTAATAAAAATGTAATTAAACGCATATTAAACGAATATTGCGTCAAATTTGCAATTGCTTCCCCTCTTATACACTTCTTTAGAAGAGTTTATTCACTTTACTGTAAATTTTGAATCATTTGTGCTAAACCTATTTTAGTACTCTATAAATAATTAGTTAATGTTGGCATTTTGAAATGCCCTGTCTGGTTAGAAGATGGTAGAATTTTGTGTTTCTTACATTCATTGTATGATGTAGTATTAAGTATCAGTCACAATATCCAGCGATGAGGTATACGATGAGAAACCGATGCGTTTTTTTGATGAAAATGGCATGGTTGCCGGCCGGGCACTACTAGTGATCGGACGGTGACTGAGGCAATTTTGCGAATCGGTGGGGTCATCGGTAGGAAATAATTCTTAGTTAAAATTCAGCGATGTCTCCAACGATGCCTCACATCGCTCCTCATCGGTAACCCATCATTAACACATCTTTCAAGGATCGGCCGATGTATGGCCGAGAATCGTCCAATATCCGTTGAATCAGAGGTCATCGGGGGGTTGAGTGGTGTTCAACAGATAACTGTCGATCACCGGTAGATTTTCGACCAAACATTGGCCCGTAGTCGACCGATGTACTAGCAATGTTCACCAATGTATGACCGATGTAATATACATCGGCGGATTATCCTGGAACATCGTTTTTTGATTAGCAATGCATCGCTAGGCCTTTGTAAGTCCAGCCGGCTACCACGCCATTTTTATCATAAAACGCATTGGTTGCCCATCGTATACCCATCGCTGGATAATGTGACTGATACTTTAAGGATTAGTAGGCCGACGTGGACCGATGTTGGGGCATCGCTAACACCACGGATTAAATATAAGTCACATTATCCAACGATGGGGTATACGATGAGAAACCGATGCGCTTTTTGATGAAAATGGCGTGGTTGCCGGCCGGGAACCACTAGTGATCGGACGGTGACTAAGTCTTTTTTGCGAATAGGTGGGGTCATCGGTAGGAAATAATTTGTAGTTAAAATTCAGCGATGTCTCCAACGATGCATCACATCGCTCCTCATCGACAACCTATCATTAACACATCTTTCAAGGATCGGCCGATGTATGGCCGAACATCGTCCAATATCAGTTGAATCTGAGGTCATCGGGGAGTTTAGTGGTGTTCAACAGATAACGATCGATCATCGGTCGATGTTCGACCTAACATTAGCCCGGAGTCGACCGATGTACGAACAATGTTTACCAATGTATGACCGATTATACGTCGGCCGATTATCCTTGAATATCTTTTTGGGATTAGCAATGCATCGCTGGGCCTTTGTAAGTCCCACCGGCAACCACGCCATTTTTCTCATAAAACGCATTGGTTGTCCATCGTATACCCCATCGCTGGATAATGTGACTGATACTTTAAGGACTAATTGGCCGATGTGGACCGATGTTGGGGCATCGTAAACACCACGGATTACTACCGATTACCACCGGTCTACGGCTACCGGTCGGGAAATGTGACCTAGGCATTACTCCTAAAATATTATATTTTAAACAAAAAGACTTGTAGTGTTTGTATACTTTGATTAAATTGCTAGAAATTGGCATTTTCCTATATAATCCTATAGTAAATGATCCTGTATTTTAAGACAGTCCCTCAAAAATACATGGACAGTAGAATTCCTCCAAACCTTGCATGTACTCTGCATTTATTGTAAGTTATATATGGTATAAAACGAAGAAAGAAACTGGTTTTCCAATGGTGTTAAAAATTCTAAGAAAAGAGAATTTTGGCAGAGGTTGATGAAAGGTGTGGCTGTCTTTTGAAGGTTTTTTTCTTTAATTTTTTTTCAAAAGTTATCAGTAAAACACAGTTTTGGAATCTTAATAAGCAATTGTTTAAATTTTCTTAAACTATTTTTTTTTATAGTTGCCTTACGCACTTGAAAGAGTATTTGCCTGATTACTAGTATTACTTACATTTCCAAGAACGTATGGGTGACCATTTGGACACACTGAAACAAAAAAAACTTGAAATTAAGTGAATTTAAAAATAAAATTTTAAGATAACAATTCCTTTGAAACGCACAAAATTTTCACATTATTTAAAAGGTATATTCAAAATATTGAAAATCATTAATTAAAATGTATGTTCAAAATATTTGTAGTTGCATATGAATCAAAATTTCACTTGATCCGAATTGCAAGTAAAATGTATTCTCAATTTAAAAATTATGGAGTTTTTTAGATTTTTTTCTTTTTGTTAATGTTAAAAGCATGTTAAAACACATTGGTTGTCCATCGTATACCCCATCGCTGGATAATTTGACTGATATTTTAAGGACTACTTGGCCGATGTGGACCGATGTTGAGGCATCGTTAACACCACGGATTACTACCGATTACCAACGGTCTATGGCTACCGGCCGGGAAATGTGACCTAGGCATTATCCAGCGATGGGTATACGATCGATGGGCAACCAATGCGTTTTATGAGAAAAATGGCGTGGTTGCCGGCCGGACTTACAAAGGCCCAGTGATGCATTTATAATCATAAAACGATGTTCCAGGATAATCGGCCGATGTATATTACTTCGCTTATACGTTGGTGAACATCGTTCGAACATCGGTCGACTAAGGGCCAATGTTTGACTGAACATCGACTGATGATCGGCCGTTATCTGTTGAACACCACTCAACCCCCCGATGACCTCAGATTCAACAGATATTGGACGATGATTGGTAATACATCGGCCGATCCGAGAAAGATGTTTTAATGATGGGTTGCCGACGAGGAGCTTTAAAGGACATCTTTGAAGACATTACTGATTTTTAACTACGAATTATTTCCTACCGATGACCCCATCGATTCGCAAAATGGCCTAAGTCACCGTCCGATCACTAATGGTGTCCGGGCGGCAACCACGCAAAAAAGCATCGGTTTTTCATCGTATACCCCATCGCTGGATAATGTGTCTGATACTTACTCGTGGCGGCCGATCATCTTCTTTCAGCCGGCAAGACCAGACGAATTTAGTCGCCCGACCATTTGCTTAAATGTGACCTAGGCATTACTCTCTTATAGTAATTATTATAGTTGTTATTATACTTATTGTCGCTTCTGCGAGAAAGAAAAAATAGAAATGTTAAGTTTCGAGTAAGGAATTGATCCTTACGTGGTTGGATCGAAATCACTTTAGGTAGTGAAGATCGGTTCTTCGTATATTAATGTACAGATGTATAAATCGAGGTCCCGGATCGCAGTAGGTGTTGGTACGAAAATAATTTCTCCTTGCTCAATCATCCCAAATGCCGAATATATCTATTTAAAAATACAGTCCTCCACTGGCTAGTGTCGGAGTCTCCACATGCGTAAAAATTCTCAAAAGGGGTATTGAGTCTCGTTTTGTCCGCCATCTCTCATGTCGAGAGTTTGATGATATTATAGTCGGTGCATTGATAGTCATACTATTATTATTTTTATGTTTATTATATCTTTTTTTTTAAATTTAATGGGTACTTTTGGTATGCGTGTTGTGTTTTTGCATGTATGCTGATTTTCTTTGCCTTCTGTTTTTGAGAACTAACCTTGTTTGCCCATGCCCTTTGCTTTTTCTCAGAGTAAAGTTTCAGCGATGGAATAAATTTCATGACATTATCACAAATTGTAAAAAGTTGGCTTAGGATAAAAAAAAGAATGTTTTACTAATTGACTTATCTTATATAACATATTTACTAAAAAAAATGAAGAGGTACATAGTAGATGTTCTGGGTATTTCTAGAGCTGAACTGAATTTAACACTCGAAAAAAATTGTTTTGAAAAATGATACTTACAATACATTGTAAGATCCTCCAACTTTGTACGTTGCTTGTTGTGTTTGATAAGTTGTTGAGCAAATTCATCAGCGTTGTCCAGCGGCATAGTTGGTAAAAATGTATTCTATAATAAAACATATTGCTATACAGCATAATCAGTGATGCTTATTTAATTAATAAGCGGCCATCTCTGTTTTGATTTCGGTCTCGTGCACTTAAAGATGTCACGAGTTATTCTTTCCAATATTTAAATAAACACAAACAGGAATTGAAGAGGAAGGCGAGGAAGGGCATATGCGAGATGTTTAATTTTCAATTTCTGGTGACGCGATAGAAAAATAATACTTTGTGACACTTTAAACTTTTTACTCTTTTGGAGGTAAACTTTGCTTTGCTCATTTATTGTATTGTTTTATGGACTTTGATATTGAGCATTGTTCGTAATCTCTATATTCTTTACGCTGTGAAATGTGCTAAAACCCTACATGCACTCTGAATGAACGCTATACGCTCACTTCATAGTTTACAAAGAATGTTTCATAGTTTGAACGAAACACTATAAATGGTTGACACAAAATGGTTTCTAATGCACGATTTACACGAAATTCAGTACGAAACGCTTTGTACACGATCCCTATTTGCTTTTTACACGATTTTCGCACGTTTCAAAATCTGGTCTCGATTTCAATCTTCTTTTGGACATTTTTTTGATTTCTTACTGAATAATGATGGATTAGTTAAAAATCGCTTGATTGTTTTAAGTGCTTAATTTTGTACAGATTGTCAGGGAAAACCAAAACAAGAGGAAACACAGCTACTGGCAATAACGAAAGACGCTGTCACTGAAGTCCTCAGATGTGAATTTACCTAATTTGTTGAATGACATTGAATTTTTTTTTTTTATAATTTCGGAATGTGCCCCTGAGGGAAAGAGATAAAGGAAAACTAAAGTACATCCATGAAATCCCGTTTTTTAAGGCTCATTAAACTCTTTTGCAAAGAAGAATCTTGACGTTATCATCCATTCGCCGAAAGACGATACCACACATGATATAAAATCTCATTTTTACATGTATTTTGTATATTCTAACATTTATTCATTCAAGATTTGCTAGGTATTTTAAAAGACAAATTGTCAACATTTTACCGAATGTCTCGAATAGTTGAGACTTTAATAAAAATAGGCCATGTTCTTTACAATGGGAAGTCTAACAAACGAGGGTTGTCCGTAAAGTTCGTGGACAAGCTAAAATTTAAATAAAAATATTGTCATTGAAATTTATTATTAACATATTCTTAATCCTATACGAAATGGGAATTACAAAATGTAAAATTATAATCAATTTCAAACATATAATTACAATAATGGCTTCATTATTAGACTTGGTATGGTGACCCGGAGCACTGCAATATTTTGATTAAAAATTTATTTATTACTTTATATTTGCATATCCATTGCTCTCTCCCACTATGAACCTGCAGCCAGCAACTGCGTTCATAGGACTATAGACGCAACTGCTTCTGCTATGAGTGCAATTGCTCTAGCTCACTCGTGTAGAACAAGTTCTACTACACAAATATACCATGTTGAGAAGTATATATATGAAGTGTTTCGTAAAAACACTAAAAATAAGTTTATAATAATATTTTTTGGAAAAAAAGAAATTCAGACTATTTAAAATTGCTGATTTATATCTTTAAAAATTTAATGCCAGCAGAGCAATTGCTATTCATAACGCCATGTTCACTGAATAACGTTGTTTATTTCTTAAATAAAGATCATTTGTATTTTGTAAAATTCCGCGGATTTTTGGATTGTTTTTATATTATGAGGTTGACAAAGGTTACATTTTTAAACCTGCAAAATTTGAACGTTCATAGTTTAGAAATGGCTGAGAAATCGAGGTTAAAATCTATTCAGACAGGATCGGGATTGTTCAACCTTTTCGGAAAAGGTGGAGCAGAGAGCAGCGATAAAATTCTGTTTAGACATCAGAAAAACGCCAACAGAGACCCATAAATGCTGTAAACAGTCGGGAAAATATATTTTAAAAACCGTTCTTAAGTATTGAAGTGGAATATATAATTTTCGGACTGAAGAAACAGTTTACAGGATGACATGCGTGAAGGAAGACCGTCATTCCGACATTTACAGTACTGTAAAAATGAATTTGTAAGTTAAACGTGATCATGACTTTTTCGTATTTCAATAAATAAAATCGTCTTTACACGGACAGAGGTTGGATGATTGCAGGGTATGAGACATGCATTGTTAAATATTATTTTACGAATGAAATCTGCACATTTTTATGACTGATTAAAGCGACATAAGAAATGTATTGAGTTAAACGGTAACTATATTGAGGAAATTTACATGTGCTCGTTTAGCTTTTGACGTCGGAAATCGTCAAAAATGTTCGTTTCAGTGCTCCGGGTATGAGTGTGTGTCTTTTTTATATCTGATATAAATATAACTAATTGTGCTTTGTTTTTGTTGAAAACTTGCATATCTATAAAATAAAGCATGAATTTAATGAAAATAATAGTTTCATATATTTTGTCAATGTTTGTCAGTAATAATCAATGTTGTCCACGAACTTTACGGACAACCCTCGTATATACAGTGATTCAGCAATTTTTGACATACACTTAGCACACAGGTCAAATTATCCTTTCAAATACCAATGCAAATTTATCAAGGCGGTTAACAATTTTCTTCAAACAAGTCTATGCTCTTTTTCCTAAGGTCATCATTTTTGTAGGCTGAAAAGCAAACTGTGAACCAAATGTAAAAAATCTTACGTTTTCACAACAAATTACTAGTCGTTCTGTCATTTTGGTGTTTTAGAGATGCTATAGGCTACACGTATATATATATTTTTTTTTACATTGGAACAAATTTTAAAAACTTCCTCCTTGAAATAAATTGTTATAAATCGAAAGCATTTGTCATATTGGAAAATTTAAAATTTCTTTAGTTAAGCACTTCTTTAAAGATTTTTATCTTATATATCTAATATTTATAAGATATTACACAACTATTTTTTGGAAAAAAATAACATCTCTTATTTTATATTCTAACAGTGAAACGATTCATAAAAAGGCGGATACTGGTTCAACCCTGTTATTTTAATAAATTCCATTCCTTATAATTTATATTCAATTATTCAGGAGAGTTAAAAGGAATAACAATTCTAATTAAAATTTGCTTCAATTTGTACGTGTTTTCAATGTAATGTTTATCGGATCAATAAGTTGGCATAAGTTACTGTTATGTAAGAAAGGCAGGTGATACAACATACTAGTAGTTTGATTTTTTTTATCCATTTAATTAAATGACACATTACAACCAAAAAAATTTATTAAAGAACATTTATAAGTAGGATTCGGATTGAGAAATGTACTTGAAGGATGCTTTAGAATATGACAGAACTGATAAACACTCTTAATGGGCGATATCGTTTGTACTTAAAATAACTGGAAATACCAAAAATCTATTCATTTAACTATTCATTTAAATTTTCGCTAATAAGGAAAGAAAATACATACACACTTAAAAAAAATAAATAAATAACAACAGTCATGTTTTAATGAGTAAAATGGACATGTTTCATATGGCAAGTCAAACGTTGCAATATTCGATATTTTCCATTTGTATTGTATAATTTTCCATTTGTATTGTATAATTTTTATTTGTATTGTATAATTTTCCATTTTTATTGTATAAGTTTTCATTTATATTGTATAAGTTTTCATTTATATTGTATAATTTTCCATTTGTATTGTATAATTTTCAATTTGTATTGTATATTTTTCCATTTGTATTGTATAATTTTCCATTTGTATTGCATAATTTTCTGTTTGAGTTGTATAATTTTTTCTTTTTATTCCATAATTTTCATTTGAATTGTATAATTTTCATTTGCATGTATAATTTTTCATTTGAATTGCATAATTTTTTATTTCTAATGTAAAAAATTCATTTGTATTGTATAATATTTCATTTGCATTGTATCCGACGGATTGTTTATTTTGGTTTGTTATCAAGGATTTCATTGGTTTAATCTAATCATATTTCGGATTTGGTAATACCCGAGATGTTCCGGGAAGTTTATACGTGTAATCCAGTCTGTGCATAAACTAGCTTGCCTCTCTCATCCTCGATCGATATACAGGTGACCAGTAGTGTGAAGGGTTGAGCTCCGTGGCTATTAATTATAACGGCCGATGTCTCTGCACTCTAATAGGTGTCGGAACCGAATGGGGGGCCTGAAGGGGGGGGGGGGGGCTTAGCCCCCCTTTTTTTGCAAAAGTAGACATTATATAAGCATTGAAAATTGGGATTTACCTTTTTTTGATTGGTTTAGCCCCCCTTCCCACTTTCGATTAGCCCCCCCCCACTTTCTATTTGCTTCCACCGCCCTTGCTGTGATCTGTTTTGGTTTCTGTCTCCGGGAATGAGCGCAGCTCTATACACTACTAGTCACCTGTCTGTATATCGAGCATGCGACAGGCAAGCTAGTCTATGTTTAGACTTGATAACACGTGTAGACTAACTAGACTTACCGGAACATCTCGGGTATTACCTAATCCGATATGTGATTAGATTAAACCAATGAAATCCTTGATAACAAACCAAAATAAACAATTCGGCGGATACAATGCAAATGAAAATTTATACAATACAAATGGAAAATATAGAATACAACTGAAAAATTATACAAAACAAATGATTTTTTTTACAATATAAATGAAAAATATACAGTGCAAATAAAATTTATACAATACAAATGAAAAATAATACAAATGGAAATTATATAATACAAAAGGAAAATTATACAATACAAATAAAAATTATACAATACAAATGGAAAAGTATACAATACAAATGGAAAAGATCGAAGTTTGCAACGTTTGACTTGCCATAGTTTCACTGTGTAGTTTGTAATTTTCTATTTAAATTTTTCACAATAATGGGATTTGAAGCAAAAAATATTTGACGGTATATATTTGAAATAACAATATTAACATTACTGCGATCAGATATATTGAAAAACAGACTTTGGTTTTCGAATGACTCAAACTTTTCCTTTTTAAAAATATATTGCATTAG